ATATGTATATATGTATATATGTATATATGTATATATGTATATATACAAATTTTAATCCAGTTGTTGGATTAAAACAATATCTAAAATACCCCAGGCAGTATTAGCAAATAATTGACATAATTCTACAGGGAGAAACAAAAGAATGTAGAATAGAATAGAATAGAATAGAATAGAATAGAATAGAATAGAATAGAATAGAATTCCTTATTGGCCAAGTGTGATTGGACACACAAGGAATTTGTCTTTGGTGCATATGCTCTCAGTGTACACAAAAGGCACACTGAAAGATGGTAGATTTTTGGACACTCAAGAAGATGGAGCTAAACCAATCTTTGGATGAATGTTCTTCCAGATTGAGAAGGTCCTATTTTGTGGATTCTGTAGATGACAGTCATTAAGAGAAGTCTAAGAAGATTCCTTTCTTATATTATGGGTAGAAAGCAGTGGGATCATGCATTCCTTGGATCAAGTTCAGAGTATTATAGAAACTTGATCGTACATCAATGGTGTTTCCAAGAGAACAGTATAGATCAGTAGTCTTCAACCTTGGCAGCTTTATAACTTGTAGTCTTCAACTCTAAAGAATTCCTCAGTTAGCCATGTTGGATAAGGAACTATGGGAGTTGAAGTCTGAAAGTCATTGTCCTAACCTGCAGCTCTGGGGTTTTTATGGTAGTATCCTATGCATGATGCAACTTTTTGGGAGGTCATCCAAGGCCATCTTGGTCTAGCCACCTGCTGTGACTGAATTCCCATCAGGTTTTAACTAATTCTTATGATACCATCTAAAGTTTCCTGCCTTTGAAGTCAAAATCTGCCCAGAGTTCCTGCAATGGGTGACCCAGTTTCTAAAATGGGATTGTTATACTGATCATGCAGAGAATGTTGTCCCTGCCTTCTCTAAACAGGCAAGTATTACCGTAATACAATAGGTGTTCCATTCCATTCAATAGGTGTTCCATTCACTATGTGAATATGATGACCTTTGAAGAGAAGTACTTCATTAATTATTATTTTTATTTATTATTTTTAGAAGAAATAAGCCAATTGCACAGAAGTACGATGCACTCATATAAAACAAAAATATAGGACATTCTTCCTAATTGTATGAATTGTGCAAATCAATCTTCACTTTTTCACTCCCCCCCCCCCCGGTCCCCAAAGAGTAGAAAAGCTAGTTACACAATCTATATTTTTGTTGAAAACAGCAATAATGCTTCTTTTGACAAGCTCACATTTAATGCACAGTGGTAGAAAAATCCTTTCCTGTCTTATTATCAGCCCAAAGTAGCTGGTGTGTGTGTGGATTTGGTAAACTCTTGTTATTACATGACAGTCATCCAGCAAAACAATTGCAATTTAACGGGGATCTTCTGGATGAAATTCAGCTTGCTTAATGTGTGTGAAATGTTCTTATTTCTATAGAATAAGCCACTGTTTGGTTATTGGATCTGCTGAGGAAAGATAAATCTTCGGAGTCTCTTAGCTAACCTTCATTCTTTTCTCAGATTATATTCTCTGATCAGAGGCTGAAAGATCTCTGAAGCAGATGAAGCTCTGTTTTTTTCTGATTCTAGTTCTCTAATAGCTCTCTTCTATTAATATAGAAGGAACGAGTTAGAAGACATTTTGGAGGTCTTCTAATCCAACTCCCCGCTTGAGCAGAGATGCTGTACCAGGAAACCCTATACTGTAGAGCAGGGGTCCCCAACTGCCGGTCCGCGGACCGGTACCGGTCCGCGGAACAAGTCTTACTGGGCCGCTGGTTGCTGGGCGCCGCCATCTTTTTTTGATAAAAAAGTGCTTCCGGTGAGCTTTTCCGGGTAGAAAGCTCACCGGAAGCACTTTTTCATCAAAAAAAGATGGCAGCGCCCAGTTGATGCCGGTACCGGGCCGCGGCGCCCAGCTGATGCCGGTACCGGGCTGCGGCGCCCAGCTGATGCCGGTACCAGGCCGCGGTGTAAAAAAGGTTGGGGATCACTGCTGTAGAGTATAGGGTCTCCTAGTACAGTGATACAACTACTGATGTGCTTTGGTAATAGCTCCAAAAAAACCAAGCGTTTATTGAAATGATACAATTGCTGAGTGATACAACCACTGTTGTGCATTGATAGTATCTCCAATAAACCAAGTGTTTATTGGGTTGATACAACCACTGTTGTGCATTGATAGTAGCTCCAGTAAATGAAGCCCCTCAACCTGTTGGTTTGTTGCACCTTCTTGAAAAAAAATAATTATGATTTCTGTTTTCACCCAGGAAGCCCTGTACATTGAATGAACAGACTGGGAACTGAACACGTCAAGGCAGCTGATTAATGACTTTAAAAGCCCTGTCGTTTCTTGTTTGTTTTGCAGAACAAGAGGAGTGCATTAACTGCACCGATGAATGCCGAGTGCTTGGTCATTCTGACCGGTGTTGGATGCCCCAGTTCCCTGCCTCCAACCAAGCAGACAATGCCGACTACCGAACAAATCTCTTTGTGCCCACGGTGGAAGCTAATGTCGAAACTGAGACTTACGAAACTGTGAACCCCACGGGGAAGAAGACTTTTTGTACATTTGGGAAGGACAAGCGAGAGCACACCATTCTCATTGCCAACGTGAAACCTTATCTCAAAGCCAAACGTGCCCTGAGCCCTCTCCTCCAGGAGGTCCCCTCAGCATCAAGCAGCCCAACCAAGACTTGCATTGAGCCATGTGCTTCGACGAAAGGACCCCTGGATGGCTGTGAAGTCAAAACAGGGGCCCTGGCTGAACCCAACAGTCAGTACCTGTCACCTAGTAAACAATCCAGAGACGCTGCCTTCATGGCGTCCGATCAGATGGCCAGGGTCTTCGCCGAGGTGCATTCCCGAGTCAGCCGAGACTCCGCTAATATGGACTCTGTCTTGGAGCAGATAGACCGTTCAAACAGAGAACTAGGGAGAGAGTCCGTAGATGCAGGGGAAGTGGTGAGGGAGATTGACAAGCTTTTACAGGACTGTCGGGCGAATGACCCTGTGGCTGTGAGAAAATGAAGCAAAACAGAAATGAAACGAAACAAAAAGAAAAGACAATCTGGCATCGATTTGCTTCTTCTGCTGAATTATATATTAAAAAAAGAAAAAGAAAGAAAAAAAATCTCCCCTGGTTCTAAAATTTATACAGGGATGAACAAAGACCAATGCTGCTTTAAGGCTTTTAGTGAATATCTGAAGTGCCCTCCCGTATGTTTGTTTCACTTGCTCTTTCTTTCTTTTTTTTTCTTTTTTTTTCCTTTTTGTTTTCAGATAACACTGGTTTTGTTTTTACCAAACTTCCATTAGAACAATATGGTGTATGTTTTTTTTAAAAAAAAAAGAAAAGAAAAAAGAAAAATAGGAAGGAAGGAAGGAAGGAAGGAAGGAAGGAAGGAAGAAAGAAAGAAAGAAAGAAAGAAAGAAAGAAAGAAAGAAAGAAAGAAATTTAGATAGATTGAGGCCACTTTGACAATCGAAGAGAAAGGAGTAAGATAAATGGAAACAGATCTTTTAGGACTGATAGTTAATGTTGATTTCACTGTTTACCTGTAGACCCCATAAAAATCAGGGTGGGATAGTTGTGTGATAAGTTTACAACAGTCATTAGAGATTTCTATGGAAAATCCCCAATTAGAGATCCAATAAACATACAAACAAATGTTCTTGTAGTCAGACAACCAAGTACACAAACCATTAACCTTCATTTGTGATAGGCATTTCTATATAAAGGCATCTGCTACATCCTGGAAAAAAAGAAAGAAAGAAAGAAATGAAAAGGAAAAAAAAAACAATATGGAAACCCCTCCAAATCCATTCCATAACTTCATTCAGCAAAAAGTACCCCCCATCATTATTAACACAGCTCATGTCATATTAAAGTTAAATGTAAACGGATCGAGTCCATGTTTGTCCTGCACATACATAAATGAATTAATGTGATCAGAGAAGAAAGGGAAGGAGTTAGTGTCTAGCAAGAGTTGAGGTAACTATGTTTTATATCTGAGGCACAATACAAGATGGCCACTTCAATTTCCGTTACACGGGAAATGGTAGCGGAGACAAATTAACATTATTAACACCTTTTGTAATTCATTTATGGACACTGCGATAGCTCGAGTGCAGACATTCCAGACCTTCACCCAAACCATTTAAATGTGCAAATGTAAGAAGATTCAATGTGTTTACATCAAATGACATATTTTTTTTCTTGATTTATTGCAGATTCAGTGCATTTGAGCCAAATTGTTGAGTGTATAAGAGCTATATTGTGTATTTTATTAAATTAATATATAGTTGTGTTGCAAAAATGTAAATGGCAAGTGTTGCCTCCGTAGCTGTCAAACTCTATGAGTTTTGTCCTCTCTTTCTTCTTTCTCCACCCCTTTTCCATGCAGAGTGTGGGAAGCAGAGCCTCAGAGCAAATTCTCTTGTAAAATGTATGGGTCTCCCAAGTTTTACAGTACATAATCTGTTCAAAATGTGTCTTGAGTGAATTGATGGAGCTAACTGAACGGCAGACAAATCCATCCATCCGTCCTGGTTGTGTGCAAAGTCCTTGTAGCAGCTTCTGTTGCAACCCATGTTTAATAACAAAAAAAAAAAAAAAATTACACTTGAACTGACACCTGGAAAGTCCTTGTTCTTTTATCAAGCGTACTCATTTATTCACATCGGCGCACATCGGCCTACTTGGATTAACGCCCTCCTGGATGAACTCTCAGATTATCCGAATATTTTAACATGCTTCCCTTTAATGGTTGCATTATCACTTAGGCATACTAGGCAGAGTGTCTGGGGCTGGTGGAAATATATTAGGCTCAATCAAAAATCTGAAAAGTAACAGAAAAACAAACCAAAAAGCCTATATCCTGAGATTAAATATATTTAAGATACCATTATTACTTTTATTATGTTATTTTCTGTGACTTCTTGAGGCCTATAGATCTAGGGAATATTTTTATAACCCTAAGAAGACTATTAATCCAAAAATAAATGTTCTTAGGGCTCACGATGGTCTTAATGCATTTCTGTTTTGTTTTGTTTTTTTAGCATTGTGGGCTATAAAATGTATTGGTGTCTCATCCTACACACTTTGATCTGGTTTTATGGACAACACTGTGGTGTTCCTCCTTTCACCCTCCATTATGACCGTTTTTTAGTCATTGTACTTTTGCTCATTTTTCTCTTGCGCACACTTTCCTATATGTTGTTCTTCGTTGGATTCTTATAAAAGCATATAAGCAACGTTTTTCTTTGAATGACATTTGTATAAGCACAATGGAATGCTTAGATCGTAGCTGGTTGGGTGAATGGATGGATGGATGGATGGATGGATGAGAAGAAAGCAGAAAGATAATCTTCTTCATTTTTATGTTGTAATCAAATTGCACAATACCTAGAAAACAAAGGGGGGGGGAGTATTCTATATGAAATACATAGTATAATTTCTTCCATTTCCTTAAACGGAGTGAGATTTTTAATGCCGGATGGAAATCAGAAACCAGGATTGTTCAAATGAGTACAAGTTTATTCCATGCTGCCACATGGTGGTACCATGCGGTGGCTCAGTGGCTAAGGCACTGAGCTTGTCGATCAGAAAGGTTGGCAGTTTGGCGGTTCAAATCCCTAGCACCGCATAATGGAGTGAGTTCCTGTTACTTGTTCCAGCTTCTGCCAACCTAGCAGTTCGAAAGCATGTAAAAATGCAAGTAGAAAAATAGGGACCAGTTTGGTGGGAAGGTAACAGTGTTCCGTATGCCTTCAGCATTTAGTCATGCTGGCCACATGACCATGGAGATGTCTTCAGACAGCACTGGATCTTCAGCTTTGTAATGGAGATGAGCACTGCCCCCTACAGCCGGAAACGACTAGCACATATGTGCAAGGGGAACCTTTACCTGTACCTCTAAACAAGAATCTAAACTACTAACTATTAAGGCAAATTGGTGATAAGTAAGAGTCAATAGAATTCAAGGAAATCTGGAATTACATTTCTTGTGGGTGCGAAAGGGACCTAGACTGATGATGACCTTGACATCTCCCTCAATTTCAACTGGTCATCTCCTATGGTTGGCAGATTTCAAACTATATCAAGCCATTGATTATCTCCTCTTTTTTTTAGTTTTTGCCACTTCTAAACTACTGACTTTTTTTTTTTTTGAAAGGAAAAGATAAGGATTTGTTTTGCTATTTTACATCAATGCATTCTTGATTCCCAATCCAAAAGACCTTTTGTGACTGTTAGGGTTACTCCATGTGAGGTGAACTAAACTAAATAATATTGACAGACTTGATAGAAATGGTATAAACAAAAATGTGGAAAAGTGTATAATGATGTCCCATTATACATGTTTATACACATTGTACAGCTAAACATCTGAAATTCCCCTTGTCTACTTCATATATATTTTGAAAATAGACCATATGTTCTTTAAGAAAAAAGAAATTATCTTTCTTGAATTAAGTCTCAAGAGCTCTTCAACTTGCATGTGGGTGAAAACTCAAGCTTGGTGTTAAACTGGTAAAATCCAGCTGATAAAATCCAGAAAGTAAAAGTGACCATTGACCTTCCTTTCCATCCCCTACTATTCCTTCAGTGAGTTTCATACTAAATCCATTAGGGGGAAATTGTTGGGAGAACAGCTTTGGAATTTCATGTATGTATGAACCTTTTTTTTTATTGTATCACATTTTCTGATATTCTCTATCCTAGCAATGATGAAAATGGGTAAATTATCTCCAAAACCACTAAGTCTCATTAATTTTTCTAGGGCCTTTACCATACTTTGGTGGAGAGGGAAAGGGAGAAGAGAGGGAAGGAGAGAGAGAGAGAGAGAGAGAGAGAGAAAGAGAAAGAGACAGAGAGAGACAGGGAGAGAGAGAGACTAACTATCACAACAATGGATGGGTTGCAATCTCTTCGTGTGCATTGTATGCCTTAAGATTCTTCAAGTTATCATCAGAAAATCTCATTTAAAAAAGCTCTTTTAATTCAATAGTCTTTTCCTTGCTCTTTTAAGCTCCCACCCCTTATTGGTTTGGTCAAAATGGTGTTAGCTATGTCGGTAGAGCTATAGTGGCACAGTAGTTATTCCAGGCTAATTCTCCTGACTACTAGGAGTTTAATCTTGAGCAACTCAAGGTTGGCTCAGCCTTTCATCCTTCCCAGGTCAGTAAAATGAGGACCCAGATTGTTGGGGGCAATAGGCTAAATCTGTAAACCTCTTAGAGAGGGCTGTAAAGCACTGTGAAGTGGTATATAAGTCTTACTGCTATTGCTATGTCCTAACTATTTTGCCCCAAAATACCAAGGTAATAGATGAATCTCCAAGGCAATATATGTTCATGTAAGTTCATGTAGCAGTTTGGTGCAGTAATTAAGCATCTGTCTAGAAACTGGGAGATTGTGAGTTCTAGTTTCATCTTAAACACAAAGCCAGCTTCCTGACCTTTCTCTGAGCCCTAGGAAGGAGGAAATGACAAACAACTTCTGAAAACCAGAAACCTGCAGGAATTTGTCCAGACAGTCTCTGAGAATCATACATGATTGAATGGAAGGGGTAGGGGAGGGAATCATGGTTTGAATATCAAGTTATAATTTTCTGCTGGCAATCTAATTATTCCTCTAAAACCTAGCATTGGGGTACATTAAGGGATGTCAGCAAGCACATTTTCTAAGTGGTTTGCACTAAGTAACCAGCAGTATAGCTACAAAGACACGAATACTATATATTCATTTAACGCACAGTGTTCCAGGAAAAGCCTTTGTTAACGTGAAAAAGGAATTCCTCTTGAGATACTCCTGCCAAGGTTGGTTTCATAGCATAGCTGTTTAATATTTCCATTTAGTGGCAATCATTTATTTACCACGTCCTTCAACACCCATGATTCATAGTTATTAAGTTCAGTTCATGGAGTGGCATTATTTTTTAGGAGGTGCCTCCATCCGCAAGATTTTTGGCATCTTATATGAAATTCTTCCCTGCTTTCAGAATCTGATATTTAACAAGTAGAAAAGGATCCATCCTAAGAATTATTCTTGAGCCACAGTGGCACAGTGGTTAGAGTGCAGTACCATAGGCTATTTCTGCTGACTGCCAGCTGACGGCAATTTGGCAGTTCAAGCCTCACTAGGCTCGAGGTTGACTCGGCTTTCCAGCCTTCCAAGATCAGTAAAATGAGGACCCAGATTGTTGAGGACAATAGGCTGACTTTGTAAAAACTGCTTTGAGAGGGCTGCAAAAGCACCGTGAAGCGGTTTATAAGTAAGTGCTATTGCTATTCTTAAGAGTGGCAAGCTAACAAGAAGTTAGGAGGGAAGGCATTGCCAATCTAGGCCATTTCTCTTTTGAAATAATTGTTTCTGCAAGACCTATATATTTATAAGCCCTATGGAGTTCACCGTATGGGAGCATCCATAAAGATGAGACCCAGAGATGATTAATAATGGAGGAGTCCAGAACATCAATTATGAAATCTGAACTAATCCTTATTCCTTAAAACATGACCAGAAATCATATTGCGATCTCACGGCTGAATGTTAAGATTCAAATTAAAACAGAAAAATCCTGATGGTCTTGTTGGTGTGTGTGTGTGTGTGTGTGTGTGTGTTTGTGTACCCTCAAGTGGCCACACTATGAAAAGTTTTGTTTTAATTGCTGAGAGCTGATACTTCTCCAAATAGAAAGTTGTGCATCAAATGGAGTGGTGAATATTAATAAATGAAATGCATTCTGTATTTATAATGGGAAGGGAGTCGAAGAACAAATATTTTGGGTTTTTCCTCTTGTTCCCAATGCATAAAGTGTTTTGGAGTTGAAGGGATGTGCTGAAAAGCTGGAAAGGTTATAAAATTGTACTGTTTGTGAAATAATAGACAGGGATGAAACATGTAAACTGCTTTGGGATCAATCCAGACATTCACAGATATGAATATGACTCTCTTGTTGGATGAAGTTGATTTTGTGTTTTAACAAGAACTAGGGAGATGTTCTGCAGGTTAGCAAGGAGGGGGGGAAGCTTGCAGTATTTCATTCATTTCTTGGTTTTTAATATTTGCTAATAGGACATGCAAAAGTAATTTAGACATTCAGTATACCATGGTTTATGTATATGAATGGAAAACATGTTGTGCAATTAAGCCAATGACAAGTGATAATGTACATATGATGAAATGGAACTGGCACTGTGAATAATGATATATCCACATTTGATGATGAATATTCCACAAATGTGCTGGCAATCCATTAAGAAGTGTAATATTTGGAGAGTGCAATTCACATATATTTCTTTTTGGCAAGTGAGGATTATCCCTTGGCAAAATAAAGATATTTAGGTTTAGATTGTAGTTTAAAAAAATATATTTCGGTGGGTAGTAGGAGGAGAGAGCAGATCAGTCTTCAAACAGCAAGCAAGAATCTGGTAATGGCTGAAACTTTGTACACTTACTACAATAGCAACGGATACATCTTAAACCTTTCTCCATATCAGTTCGGAAAAAGCAACCTCAATAAGCCAATTTAATAAAAGTTAAATATCATATGATTCCAATTAATCTAACTCTTGAGGTGGAAGAGAAAGAACTGGAAATTTTAGGATGTCTTCTTCGTTGAATATTTCAAGGTGGTGTAAGAATTGGATACCCCATGAGTAGAGTCGATGATTGAGACAATGACATAAAACCCTGTACACAATTCATATACTCTCTCATACACAAAGGTATCACAGAAAATGATATGGCCTTGAGGATGTGTTCATTCCATAAGT